TGCTATTTTAAGCAAGAGCTTATCAATTGAGTTTAAAAATGCCATGACTCGCTTATTTTATGTTCTGAAATTTTAATATTTATTTTTATTTCGAACAGTTAAAAGTATCCTCATTATATGATTTTATACTTTCCGAATTTAAAATACAATTATATAGCTCAAAATTATCAAAATGTGTGTGTGTATGTGAAAGCATTCTTCGTAGAAGTAAATGAATTCTTCAATACATTATTAAATGTAGTGGCACAAAGTGTGTGTGATACACTACTATAAAATCTTTTAGAATTGCTTTTATTCAAGGCGCTTCTGAATTTGTGATATTACATAAATACTTATTTAAGCCATTGTCACATTTTAAGAGACGTACGATATAGTAGGTGATATTATTTATAATACATTCAATTGTTATTCAAGCAGGAAATTAGAATATTTGCTCTAAATATACAATAACATCTTTTAAATATAATTCTACCTACAAAATATGCAATTTAATTTATTCTGGAAAAGCACATTTTACGTGAATTTTTCGCAGCTATTTTCTATTTAGTTTCTGCAAATTTTTACATTTATTTTTTAAGACCTCACATAACAAGAGATTTAAAAAAATGCAAAAAAAAATTACATTAACATTTACTTATCGAAAACAAAGGTGAAATAAGGGGATAAATTTAAAATTAAGGGATAAATTTAAGGAGAAATATTTCACACCAGAAATAAATACATATTTTTTTCCCATATAAACGAATCACTAAGACTTTAGTAAAGACAACTTGCAATAGAGACATAATTTTAAATGTATTTAACAAATCCATAAATAGCCAGGAAGTTATATTAAAAAAAACACACTTTTTCTAATATTCTAATTTAACGTTATGCATTTCTTGGCGTAATTTAAATTCTTAACGCTGAATGCATGTCCCCAATAAATTTCCGAAAGAGACACTTTCAATTGCTAGCTGTGTTTGTAAAATTTAAAATATGGCCTTATAAAATGTAAAATTTATATCGCCGTCAAGAGGTAATGCAATCATTTATCACACACAGAAAGGTTTTATCCTAAAAACTTTAATATTCTGTTAAAAGAAATTGGCGCTGGGGAAAAAAAGTTTGTTTTGAAAAACAAAAACAAAATGTGTTTGACAAAAGGTATTACAATAAGAAGAAAGGAGAAAAACAAAAGAAGCATTTTCTTAACAATTAATAAATAGTGTATAAGTTACGCACATTTAGCTTGAAAGAGTATCTACTAAACAAAGTACTCTGACAATGTTTTTCACATTTCTACAATAATAAATTTCACTCTAGTTAAAACTAAGCAGATCACAGCATCATAATTAAATAATCTTCAAAATTGCTTCTTTGGAAGTGAAATATTACAAAAACATTTCAAAACTGATTCCTTATGATTACGTAGCTGCGATTTAAAAAAAAGGAAGCATTGTTCAGAATTGCTTCAGTTTGCTCCGAAATTGCATCAAAAACTTCCTTTATCTCGTAACACGGGTTGCGGGACATAAGATTTTGACTCTTTAACACAATATTACTTTGAGGTATCCCACTTCCTGTTTTTGTAATTTTCTTCATAAAAAAAAATAGAAAACCAAAAATACGTGTATTATTTTACTATCTCGAAACAATAAAATCAAATAAACATTAGTTTATGAAATACAGAGGATTAAATGTCAAAGCACAAAAATTTATTTAAGACAAACTACCTTTAACCCGGGAACGGTTGCGCGGAAAACTAAATCACCCTAGGTTCACGAAATTGTTAATTCTGGGAAAACTGTTTATTTGTTACCAAAGACCTTGACAGTATCCTCTTATATGACAGTCTTCATGGGAATTAAAATGTATTTGCCACATCTCTCTCTATTTTTTGGGAGTGGCAAACTTTTTTTTACAATCTTAAGGTACTTGTTTTGAATGAGTTCCCCGCGCGACCTCTTTTGTACCAAAATATTTTCTGTGAACATCCTACATTTTTCTCATGTGAACAACTTAGTGATTTTAATTGCTGTGTTGTAGACCTTATTATGGTTTATAAATGTAAATGAACAGAATATATATGCATATATAAAAAACAAATGGGCATCTGTGATCTCTACTGAAGGAAGTTGAAATTGATCAAGCAAGGGGCTGAAATAATGCGTATTAATCGTGATAGCGAAAGTAAATTTGAGGAAAGCGAATAAAATGAAACGTTTGAGTTGAAAGGAAAATTTTCAAATGCTACCTAAAGAACTGCATCAAGAAAAATATTAAGCCATAAGCATACCACAAGACACACTTCGCCCTGTCAAAATGACTCGAGTAACATACGACAATTTTGCCTGCAAATAACATTCCTGTAATGTTAGCGAAAAGCGGCTGTGATTTGTGCCCTTTATTAAAATCGTGCTCATTCGAAACTTCTTGAAATAGTTTGATATTTTATCTTAAATTATCAAAGACAAATTGAAAAGTCCTTAAAAGTAGGTAATTATAGTTTTTCTCTCTCTCTTAGTTGAACTATTAAATGAAATTATGATTTTTATCGTGTTTAATAAAAAGTTATATAAAAAATAATTTGGATGACCCAGTCACACACATCCCTCGTGACCATTAACGTTAGTTAACTTCATTGATCCGCTTCGTTATGTATTTCATGATAAAGGAATTTATACAATTTATATGTATAAATTATTAATATTTTAGTCCATTAATTGTCCCAATGGGTTAAAAAACATTCTTATAACTCTCACATCTTGATTCAAAAGGAGCAGAACTTTCTAATTGGTCTGTGGATAGCTAATTAACCGTTGCATACCTTGTACATACTGCGGGACCTGGTATAGCTTTTTAGTGTGGCATAATATAGATGGATATCAATAGTAAAAATGTAATTTTGTCACACAGTTCCGTCCCCAGAGGCAACGAGCCTCGGTCAAGTGAGGTGAAGCAACCCTCTCTGCAAAATAAAACACGGCAACAGAAAGACTTTGAGCCTCGATGACGTTAACGAGCATTAACCCCTTTATATTGTGGATCTTCAGTTGCACTAGGGCAGGGACGGTGAACCCTCTCTGCAAAATAAAACACGGCAACAAAAAGAATTTGAGCCTCGATGAAGTTAACGAGCATTAACCCCTTTATAATGTGGATCTTCAGTTGCACTAGGGCAGCTATGGTGAACCAGTGGCACGCGTGCCATTGATGGCACGGTGACACAATATTTTTGGCACACCATTGATCAAAATTGTTTGCGTTTTGTTTCAAAATTCACTATGAAGTATTACGAACAATCGCGAGTGATTGGTCGCGGGGCGGCGGGAAGCACACTTGTTTGTTACTGTCTTGCCTTAGTTACGTCGTAGACTACAATTGCTTTTGATGCAAATTTTGTCTTCACATAGCATAGGAAATTTCATTGTCACAACTATATTTTAAAGTTCATTTGTGTTATAGTTACGATTTTTAAATGTTATTTAACATGGCTAGTTCAGCAAAAGAACAAAAAGTGCAAGATAGTAAGTGTTACAGAGAATTTCAAATTTGGTGGTCCGAGAAGCAGGACATTATTAGTAAAGGCGACAGAGCAGTGCGTGTTTTATGTTCTGGAATAGTGGTATGCAAACCATCGTCTGTAAAACGGCATTTTGAAACAAATCCTTTTGTCAAAAAAATTAGCCTTTTCAAAAAAAATTGATTGCTTAGAAACCGTTTAGCAGGAGACTCAAATTCAGCATATGTATATTCTACAAAAAGTAACATCTTACAATCCTAATACGAGTTATTTGCCATCCAATCTGCAACAACAGAAGTCCCACTAATGCTACTTTAATTTGAATTACACGGATAAATAACAAACATTTATAACTATACAGTGTAAAAGAATTTTTTCGTGTGAAGTAGAGTTTTGTATTGTTAGTATTTAGTTTTATTATTCCCAATAATCACAAGTCAAAATTATTTGACAGCACGTCTGTTCTTCATTAAACACTTCTTTAGAAAAAATGACACGTTTATCCACCCTGCTTGATTGATTGATTGATTATTAACGTCGCACTGTTTAGCTACACGAGGGCTTTTGGCGATGTACCACGTAATTTTGAACCATGGTCAAGTGACGTGGACGACACCTGAGCTGGCACCCCCTCCTAACTACCACACCAACGGGAGGACGTTTCAGCTCTCGACAGATTTAACGTGCATCGCTGCCCTACACGGCGGGTCTTTAGTGGTACTGGGCTCGAACTCGTGACAAGGCAAGCCACGGTCCGATACCTATACCACTCGGCTACCNGTGACGACCCCTGAGCTGGCACCCCCTCCTAACTACCACACCAACGGGAGGACGTTTGAGCTCTCGACAGATTTAACATGCATCGCTCCC